CTGAAAAGTCCACTGAGATCCAAGAAAGCACCTTCCAAGGCCTCCAGCCTGTGGTGATGGCTTTCAGCGTCTTCTGCTACCACAGCTTCTGAATGTGCACAGAAGGTAAAGGTTTCACCAAAAACACACATACACACTTTAGAATTGAACATATTGATGGCCTGGAGATATGCTCAGTGCTTCAGAGCATAGACTGTTCTTTCACAGGACCCAGGTTCAATTCCCAATGCTCATCTAGACAGATCATAGACATTTGCAACTCCAGCTCCAGGGCACCTGGTGTGTCTGGTAGGCACTAGCCTGTTCAAGTTAACTTTTAAGTCCTATGTCAAGCCCCTGCTTGCTACTTTTTCTTTCCCACATGGGTTGCAGTGTGCCCATGGTAGATGGAAATGAAAGGAAGAGAATTGTCTGCTATTATAATTAACCACAAAGTGTCTACATGGAGGAACATCAGGGAGTCCCCTGACAGCTAAGGGGACCTGGTGTGGGAGTAAGCCACACTAACTCAATGTTGAGGCACTTGAAAGCTGTCTTATGGAAAGAGCTGGGGTTGCATCTGTACCTCTTGCATGCTTTGGGGACATGGAGAGTATAGTGTTTTCTCATTCCTGCAATTAATATGCAATTAATGCTCACAATGAAATGAGACTGAGGGATAAATGAAAGTGGTTTGTATGCAAATTCCTTTTTATGTATCTGCTTTGAAACAGCTACTCTTTCTTTGGTCAGTCCACTTTTATGAATATGGGCGATATGTCTGACTCAGAGGCTGGTTAGCACTTAATTTTATTGTATTTTATTAGATTGAATTTATAGTATACATATTGGTGTTTTGCCTGCATGTATGTCTGTACACCATATGAATGTCTGGAGCCCATAGAGGTCAGAAAGAGCATTGGATACTCTGAAACTGGAAATACAGATGTTTTTGAGCCATCATGTGGGTCCTTGGAATCAAACCCAGGTCTTCTACAAGGATAAGAACTCTTAATAAATAAACCAGTGAGCCCCGTGAGGCTTATTATGATGCTCAGGATTGGAGAAGGTAACACTTAGGCTGGTTCCTGAACAGATGGGTACAATCTTAAGCAAAACTTGTTTAATGTTTGTAGTACTGAGGAACAGAAAATACATAATTTCTTGTCTGCAGTATAAAATACATGGTCTGGGGTGGGAGTTTGTGAAACTATTCAGGCAGTAGTCTCCCCATCTGCATGTCTTCCTTCTTAAAAACATAACAAGTGGTTGGGTGTGCCTTAGCACAAAACAGAAGAAGAGGGCTGGCAAGGAGGCTCAGTTGTCAAACTTAGGGACCTTTGTTCTACCCCCAAGACTTAACATAGTGGAGGGAAAGAACTAACTCCCCTAAGTTATCCTTTGACCTCTCTATGTATGTTAGTGCTGTATTTGATAATTCGGCAGGACTGGCCTCTTGACCATGGAGGCCATGCCAATGGAGTCTTACTCATTTGGATTGAAGAAGACTTAGGTCCTGCCTGTGAAGAACATGCATAATCTTCAAAACCAGGGAAGGGGTTTATGAGAGAGGGAAAGAGAGAGACAGAGAGAGAGAGAGACAGAGAGAGAGAGAGAGAGAGTGAGAGTGAGTGTGTGTGTGTGTGTGTGTGTGTGTGTGTGTGTGTGTGTGTGTGTGTTAGTTATGTGCTGGGGTCAGCAGTACTTGGACCTGGTCAGGACCTGTCTGGTTAGTGATTCTGATGGTCATGCTTATTTTAAAAGCTATTCCTCCATGGGTTGGAGGAGCTTTTCTTCATACTACTCAAATCTGTGCATGGCCTGATGCTCACATACTGCAACACTCTGTGTTAGTGCCTCAGCAGGCAGCCCTGTTTCCTACAGGAAACCCAGACGTCTTACTCTGTGGATTTTTTTTTTTTCTTTTGGTTTTTGAGACAAGGCTTTTCTATATAGTCCTGGCTATCCTTCTGGAGCTCCCTATTTAGACAAGGTTCTCCTGGAACTCACAAAGATTTCTTACCTCTGCCTCTCAAGTGCTGGGATTAAGAGCATGTGCCACCACACAGCTTCTGTGGGGTCCTTTTATGAAATAGTGAACCTGAAATCTACTTGATAATGGAAAAAACCTACAAGCCCCTAAGGTATTAAAACACCTGGTAGCCCACATTTTGTTCTCAAGCATCCTTGGGAGAGGTTCTGCTTCTGTTGGGAAGCCAGTTTTTAGTGGGAAGGAGGTTCCGTCACTCTCTGGGTCCAGACACAGCTCTGGTAGATCACTACCAGCAGGAGTGGGTGTGTGCAACAAAAGCCTTGAGAGCAGCTTCAGTATCTGAGCAGAATTCCTTGTTTACAGAAAAGAGGGGCTGGGTCTCAAGTAAAAACTATAGACTCCACAAACTTCCCTGGTTTGTCTGTGAAATTCCCTTGGGCCAGTCCCATATGACCGAGGATACTGAAGCTGTGTCTGTAGTAGCTAAAATGAACCCACAGATGCTTACAACACAACCAACCTCTGCAGCTAACTGCTGCATACAGTACAGGAGGACACTTCCTTTTGTGAGCAGCAGACTGAAGCTAGGTGAGGACTAAAGAAACAAACTCAGGTGAACTGTGAAGTAACCTTCAAAGGGAACTTTTGAAGATTCAGCGCTTCACACTCAGTAGGGCAGCACAAGGTGAAATTTCAGCTGCTGCCCCAGTATGTGTCTACAGTGTCTGTTTTGTTTTGTTTTTGTAATGACCTTGGGCAGTGGGTCACACTGAGGACAGCATGTAGACTGTGGCCACCTAAGTTATCTTCAAGCAGCTCGATCAGAACCCCAGAAGTGGCTTATAGACATTGGCAATTTTCATTTAAGGAAAGATGGATGTTAGAAGGACACACACTGGTCCCTGTGCAGCATCTGAGTACCACGTGGGCATGGTTCAGCACAGCCGGCTCTTGTCCCTTCCCATCCTCTGTCACAGGAGTTTCCTTGTTATAAATGGACACTGGCATTACTTCTAAAGGCTTCTAGCTGGTTTTCATGTGATAGACTAAAGTGGAGTGTCTAAACCTGAGAAGAACTTCTCAGGCAAGGGTAAGACTGTCTTAGAGTAATGTATGTATATTAAATTTCTACTTACTTTTCTAGGCTTATTAAGTCTGCATTTCTAATGGCACTTTAAATACTTCAGCCATCAGCCATCTGGCTACAAACAGATTTAAGCAGTGTACGAACTAGTTGTCATTCTCTGTTCTACTATGCATTCCCTGATGAGGTTCAGGAATGAGTCCCTGAACCTCAGTATGATTTCCATGCTGTTGCAAGGTGTTTTAAAGACATAAGGATCTAGTGGAGATGTTTTAGCTGTAATGATATTCCAGTTCCATCTGTCATTTGCATATAGGAAAACATTGTATTGCTTTATTTTCTGGGTCACTGGCATCAAAAGAGCTTATGTTCAAGCCAACAGAGTGGAACATACTGTTTGTTTATGTTCAGAACACAGGTGCTAGAGTTCAAAGAGCCCAGGCCACTGCTGCCAGCTAAGTGGCTTCAGACAGCCCAGCTGGGCTTGGGGAACTCAAAGAGGATTCAGAGAGGACAGGTTCAGTATTTAGTGAGTGTATTTTAGTACTACATGAAGGGTTGATTATATATTTCCTTGAAATGAGTTACCTACCTATAGACTGTAGCTCGGTCAATAGCATTTCAAGACTTCTGTCTGGTATCTGTTGCTATTGTAGATGGCTGTGTGGACATTTCTCATCTGAGCTTCAGCAGTGCTAATGATGTGTCCATGCTGTGGTAGATCAGGACTGACAGGGTGCCTGGATAGGAGCATGTGTTTCCATGCTCCCTTCTTTTTGAAAGGATGTAAACTTGTTTTTCTGGGAAAAAACACTGCTGGGAAAAAGCACTTGTCTCACCCTCTTCACCCCCATATCTAACCACTTAGCATCTGTTTGTGTTAGATGATGGCATAGGCCATAGGGCTGAGAGAGGAAACATGGAGTGTGCCTTCTCTTTGCCAAAGGGTCCAGTGAGAAACGCAAATGGAAGGAAAGCTAGGTCGTAAGTGGTAAATGTCTGAGCAAAGTATGACACATGACTACAATACCAGCACTCATAGCAAGTTCCAGGCCAATCCTATTTCAAGAAATGAAGGAATTATCTGAGATTGTTTCTAGACAATAAATTGTCAACTTTTTACTAAGTACTTTAATATGCATATATAATGAATCTGAAAATATTTGTTTTCCTCTCCATGTTTAGCATATTAAAATGACTTTCTGTGTGTAAAGCTTTCCAGCAGAAGTGATATTAACTGTGGAAAATCATAATTTAGGAGCTGAAAAGTTGTGACATCCACTAAAATAGGGCTAAACCTACTCATCTCTCTGCAGTGTGATGTAACAGTGCTGCCTTTGGCCTGGCATGTGCCTTCGTTCTGACACAGAGACATTTATTCTAGTTTCTTGGATGTCTAGAAATGACTGAAATGTGAAATCCAGTTTTCTGGAGAGATTAATCAAATCTAATTAGCAACAATTCTATTTCCACTAATCTGGCATATGGGCTCGACATGTCTATAGCATGTTAGTGTACCCATCATGCACAGTTCATCAACAGATTATTTTTTAATATTTTAACAAAATATGTTATATTGAAATTGTCTGTTTGCTAGTATCAATTTACAGTGTTCTCGAAAAGACTTTAACCATGGATCTTTAGTAAATGTAAGAGATTCTCTGTTACATATATTATTTTTCTCCTTGTCAGAAAATGCTATGAAGTTTTAAAATACCAAGAAAAAGATAAATTTTTTATTTCTTAGGCATTATGTCAAGTACAACATATTTTTCAATTCCCTCCTTATTGACAGAAATATTACTTGTTATGTAAACACCACAGACTTTATCAAATGTTAGAAGTAATCTAACAAAGTATTTGTTCCAGTCCTCTTTATTTTTCTACCTTTTACATATGGACACATAAATGATGGACTTGTCTGGCCTCTTCTTCCTTCCCCAGAGCATTAAGAAGAAACATTCAAACAAGCAGGAGATGGGCACCTACCTGAGGTTCATTGTCTCCCGCATGAAGGAGCGGGTGAGTGCTGCTGGGTTCCAGCGTCTTGCCAGGCTTGCTTTGCTCTGGCTCCTCGCACTGTGCTTTTCACACTGGGAACCATAGCAACTTATGCGGGCATATTTGGCTATGGTCTAGTTTGGTTTCTAAGACAAGGTCTCAATCTGTAGCCCAGACTGGACTTGAATTTGTGATCCTCTTGCCTCAGCCTTCTGAGTGCTGGGATTATAGGCCTGTACTACCTAATTTGGTTGGTGTTTTATTAATTTTCTACGACAAATGTTTTTGTATTGGACCAGACTTTGTCTTTTGTTTCTCTTGACATAAACATTTTATTAACTACATTCAATTAAAACAATTTAAAAATTAATTTATCAAATGAACATTTGCATTGCTTATTGCTATTGAAAATGAAAGGGCATTTCTCAAATAGCTGTTCTATCAAATCTTGAAGAATGACACATTGCATTAACTGTACATATTTTCCTTAATTATAAAGGACATCTTGTAAGATTATAAAATATGTTGTTTTAGGAATTGACGTTTTACATGTCCCTTTATGTATTTAACAACTCTTTAGGCTATAGACCTTAATAAAAAGGGAAAGGACAGTAAGCATCCGATGTACCGGAGGCTGGTCCATTCAGCTGTTGACGTCCCTACCATACAAGAGGTAACTTGGCTCCTTTTATTTCTACTTCCATGTGTCTTAACTACCAAGTTAGAGGGTAAGTAGTAGCATGCACATGGTGTGTTGAGCATTCATTCCTTTAACTGTCACACACTCTAATGCAAATTTTAAAAGACCCCCTATTTCAACCACTTACAGCCAGCTTCTTGATATTTGTTGATTACAGAAAGCAGATTCTTGCCTGGGCAGCTTGACATTGTGCATGTAAAGTACTGATTTCTGAATATGACTTTCCACTTTAGCAGTGTGCTTGGGAGTTTTAGGCAAAACTTAGTGTGTAGAATGGCTTTAGTGTTTTGGGAAACTATAAAAGGAAGAAAACTAAGGTTGAATCTAAAAGAAGTAATTCTTAGCTCTTTGAGAATTGCAAACAGTGAGTTTTGACCATATTCACCTTCTTCACCAACTCCTCCCAGATCCAACTCTCTTTCTACCCACTCAACTTTAGTCCTCTTTTTGTTTTTGGGTTGTTTTTTTTTTTTTCTTATCAAGTCCAATTTGTGATGCCCATATATCTCAGGCTTGTTTTGTCTTCATGCTACATTATAAGGCTTGAAGATCTAAAGACACAGCCCCCCTCCCCATACACATACCCTGTGCTTGGGTACCTATAGTCCTTTCCTGATGAAGCCCTCTAGACCCCACTGCTGTCATCCTTCCCTGAGCCTCTGGATCCTGTCAGGCCCTCTGTCAAATGCACTGATGCTAGCTGGGTTAATGCCTTGTGTAATATGAGCAGAAGTCCTGAAAGAAAGATTAACAGAAAGACAAGATTTTTATGATCTTACCAGTTTAAAATCTAAAATATGAATCATGGTTTAGAGCAGAACTCAACAAGAGTTGCTTTTAGGGGTGCTGTAAGGAGGTATATAGCCTGGACAAGGCCCTGTACGGTTCAGTGCCTGATGTACTCCAGCACTACAGAGGCAGGAATCAGGGAGGGAATTCAGGCAACAAAGGTGGGAGATGCCACATGGCTTGCAATTTCATGTAGGATGTATAGGTAAGGACCTAGGAGGAGTGGGCATTGTCATTGAAGGAAGGGCAGTGGAACTAGAACCATACAGAAAGAAGCTGCATGAAGAAAGAGGTGGGGCACATGTGAGGGGCATAGGAGATGAGCATTCTTTAGAGGCCTTGGCCTTCTAAGCCATTTCTATGCCATGATCACTGGGATTCAGAAATGTTCTCTTGCTATTCCAGGCAGCTAGCTATATACACACTATTTGAAAAAAAATTTGGACTCCTTTCTACAATGGAGGAAAACCTTCCCAAGTTCTTCTGTAATTCTCTTTGGCCACCAAAGGCAGAGCTGCAGAGAGTGCATTGAAGAGTCCTTTTCTGTGCCTCATCAGTGTAGAGAAAGCTGTGCATTACCCTACTCCAAGAGGAACTCCCAAAGCTACTTCAAGCTAGTGTCTGTGCCTTAGAGCAGTGGTGCCTTTCAGATATTTATATTAGAATTCATAAGAGTAGCAAAATTACAGTTAAGAATTAGCAATGAAATAATTTTTTGGTTTGGCGGGGGCACCACAACATGAAGGAACTATGTTAAAGGGTTAAAGCATTAGGAGGGTTGAGAGCCACTGTCTTAGAGGTTTGGTGACTGCTGTGGAGGCTAATGGCTCCTTTTTCCGGTCTTCATCCAGCTGTCAGAAAGATGGCAAGCTTGTGTGGTCCTGCTTTCATCTGAGCATTTTCTGACGAAGCCCAGCAGCAGCTGCCACTACTGCTGTGAAGTCCACTGTGGGAAGTTAACAGAATGGGCACAGTGCTACTTGTGACCCTGTCCCTTCTGGTGGGGACAGTAGGAGGAGACCTGATGTCATCTGGACAGATTCCGTTGTGTTTCTGTCTCAAGTCCTGTTACTCACAACACTTTTGTCCTTCTGTCTTTTATTCCCACAGAAAGTAAATGAGGGGAAATACCGGAGTTACGAGGAATTCAAAGCTGATGCACAGCTGCTTCTCCACAACACAGTGATTTTCTATGGAGGTTCAATCCTTTTTCTCTCTTGTGTACAGTTTTGAAAATATTAAATTCCATGTTGAGAATAGCAGTCACAGTTCATTGTAATCCATACATGAGTAATGATGTTGGAATGTAAACTGATGGCTGCTTGCTGGTGTGGATTACAGAGGTACTGAACAGTGGTGTGGGGAAATTAGTCTTTCACTTTTTTGTTTTTATGGTGCTGAGGATGAGGAGCTAGCCCAGGGCCTCATGCATGCTAATTAAACACTCTACCACTGAGCTACATCCTCAGTGAAATGTATTCTTGATATTTACATGCTTTATCTTAGCTAAGAGGTTTGTCCAGGCATTTCATTAATCTGATACTTTCCCACTAAGATCTCATTCTTACAATCAAGAAGTCATTCTCTACCTAGAGAATTAGTGGTTGTGTTAAATGTAAAAATGAAAGTTTCCTGTAGAATTTATTCTCACTTGAACATTATATAAAATGTGTGTTTTGATAAATGTGTCTCCATTTGGTGAACTGAAATGACAATAGGGTCACTTGACTTGATAGTGGCAGTTTCTAGAGTATTGATGACAGGTTGTGTTTATCTTTAATTACAGCAGACAGTGAGCAAGCAGACATTGCGAGGATGTTATATAAAGACACGTGTCATGAGGTACTTACCATTCATACCTAATAATTAAACTTGCTATAGTCCAAATTTATTTAAGGCTTCTGTCCTTCCTTGCTACATTTTCATGATGGCATTTCCTTTAATGTAATTTGATTTTCATGTTTGGCATACATGGAAAGTAAGTAAACAAAATGTTTCTGAAAAGGCTGACAAAGGATGTCACGGCAGGTTAGCGAGTGACTCAAGTACTTCTGGTGCTGATGTAAGTGTTGGTGAGATGGTGAGATGTGAACAACTGCTTCACACTGCACCAGAACCACATTTTGGGATGAGGGTTCACATATGCCTCTCATAGACCAATGGGCAAACCAGTTGAGGCAGAAAAGAACATTTATATGCATACAGTAAGTGAAGCACCTGCAAGTATTATTCTTGTAAAAATTCTCATATAATAAGTGTGATTTCTTCAGTTCATTTTAAATTTGACTTTTCCCTTTTAGTTGTTGAACAGCCATTTTGCTGAATGTCTACAGTGTGCCAGAAGGAATGAAATGGTGCTATAGGTCTAGATTCTAGTGTATGGAGAGCTGTCTTCTGAAAAGAGATTGATGACAGGAAGGAAAAAAAGAAAAAAACAAGTGGTCTTTACAGTGATGAAGAGAACAGTGTGCAAGCAAGGGACGGCAGTGGCACAGCAAGGGAAGGGCACTGTCACCCCAGCATGTCTTCCACATGCTGGTCAGTGAGTGGCAGTCCTCCTACAAGATTTTAAGTGTACTAGATTAAGTGCGGGCCTGACTGAGAGCTGCCTGTCAGTCCCACGAAGCCGCATTGGTTGGCTCAGACCGTTGCTTTGCTTTTCAGCTGGATGAGCTGCAGCTTTGCAAGAACTGCTTCTATCTATCAAATGCACGGCCCGACAACTGGTTCTGCTATCCTTGCGTATGTGGAATTTTGTCATTTTCATTTATAGAGTACCATTTGGGTCATAGTTACTTCCTGTTTACTTAGGGACAATAATACCTGTGAAATTTAGTTCTTTACATCATAGTACACATGGTCTTAATGAATGTGTACAACTGAAACATGGGAAAATAACAGTAACTGTTTTTTAGTTCTGAATTTCAAACAAAGTACTTAGTAAGACCATGTACTGGGTCCTTTGATAGACAGGAGAGTGAATCTTTGCTTTTCCTCTCATTTATAAGAGGAGACCTGTGACTTTGCTTATATCTGTAGCTCCATCATTTCCTCTGAAATGGCAAAAAGCCTCAGGGTATTTGAGGGCAGTATTCTCAGTAACATTGACATTGGGTGGACTTAGGAGACCTCATAATCAGAAACTCTGTGTGGGGCCTAATTCTCCCCTTTCTAACAAATACTCAGGTGATGCTGGGCACAGAAGCAAAGTCAGGGAACTCTGTTTACTACTATCATGCACAGGGCCCTTGACTTTAGAGGTGACCTTTTCCAGTTCCTGCCTCATCTGGGAAATAGTCCATAATTCTGTTTTCTCTTAAGTATATGAATTGTTTTTCTTGATGACAAGAGAAAACAAAACAAAACACATGTATGTGTTTCAGAGTTAAAAGGAAACATTATCCAAATGGATTATGTCTTACTTAACCCATGATTCTCTAAGTAGTTCAGTATTAAAAGAAAGAACATTTCATTTTCAGATACCTAATCATGAGCTGGTTTGGGCTAAAATGAAAGGTTTTGGGTTTTGGCCAGCCAAAGTTATGCAGAAAGAAGACAATCAAGTTGATGTTCGCTTCTTTGGCCACCACCACCAGAGGTAATCCCCAACTCACACAGTGGTAAGATCTGCGCTGATGTATGTATGCTGAATGCTGTTTCAAATACATCACATGCCTGTAGCTGGAAGTAACTTATGCAGGTTTTCCAGTATTATTGTAAACGGCATTTTAGTGGGATGTTTGGTCCTCAGGTACAGAGCACACTAGTGCTGAGATTGAACCCATCATGCAGGGCATTGGATGCGGGGGTGAACCCACAGGCATGTCCGTTCCACACTGTAAAGATGTGCAGGTATTTGAGTCTTCTCTGTGACCCTATTAACGGGTAAAAACAATCAGCTTGGGATTGTAGCATCAGTCTAAGAATGTGGACAAGCACAGTGAGTATAGAGGAGAGGGACAGACACAGTTACAAAGCAGTGTCTCCACTCCCAGGCATGAATTTGTAAAACTTAAAAACTTACATATGTGGAATACATAAAATGTATGTATTCTAAAAGAAAAAAAAGAAACTGACTATAAAATTACCTCATGCATTTCTTAGATACCAACCTGTGGGATGACACACTTACAATACTGTTCTCAGGGTTAGTTGAGGCCCTAATAACATTGATCATGAAAAATTAGGGTTTTAACAGTAATGCCATTAAGTGTTGTCAACATTAGTTTGGGTTAGAAAAATGAATTCAACTTTTGAGAAGTCCCATTGGACTCAAAGTAAGGAGTCCAGTGATAAAGCCAGAAAAGTTTCCTCTAACACAGATATTAAAGGGATGGGAATCGTGCTGCCAGTCAGCCATGCATGTACTTTGAATATCTCCTTAGATCTTAGTGTCTGGGGTAGAGGTCAGTCATGTACGAGAAGCTTCAAGACAAAGGATTGCATTTTCCCCTCCTGGATTATAGTTTGTCTTATATAACCTGTGAGTACTTTAAATGTCTGTTTTCTCATTCATAAATAGACACACCTATCCAGATTTATGTTAAGAAACACAAACTAATAACACAACATTCAATCTTAATACAGAGTGAACATTTTAGCCTTTGATGAATAGGTTAGTTTTAGCATTACTAGCTTCATGTATCATATCTAGTTAGTTTCAGATTCTGACAAGGGGGCACTGTACACATGCCAGTGAGGTAAGTCAGTGTCTGTCAGTGTGTGTCCAAGTCTCTGCACTGACTCTCATCCAGATACACTAGCCAGGCTCTCTGAGCTTTGGGAAAGCTGGGCCTCACTCCTCATGAAAGCTTGATACAGACATAGCATAACACCTAGCTGGTGGTGGCAGTATGCAAAGTGATGAGTTATAAAGCAAATATCAGGAAAATGGGGAGGGGAATTTTTTTAAACTTCCAGATAGATAGGCATCTCAATAGACTTGCTAGTCTATCATGTAATGTAGAATCATTGATCTGGATAGAGTATGTCATGAATGATTGCTTAGATGACACAGTAAAAATCTACCATATTAGAGTATTTGATGTATTGAAAATAAAGAGAAATTGTAATTATGAATTAAGCACCAAAAGACTGGCTCATGAGGAGGCACTGGTTTTGAGGACTTTTTGTTTTGTTTTTGATAGGTATATTTATTGTATTACACATAGGGTGCAGAAAAAAATAAGCAAATAATTTTGGACTCGCTTTTTCAGACTGTGAGGCTGACTTAGCCTGCAGGAGAAGCCAGTTATTGCCTGCACATGGGACCTGTGGGAGTGGGTCTGTCTAGGATCTGCAAGATGGTCAGTTGCTTTGGACCAGTCAGCTTCCCTAAGGCAGCCAGACCTTTTTACTATAAGTTGCTGGAGATAGCATGACCCCAGTCAGGAGCCAGCAAGAAAGATGTTGAATAATTTGTAGTAAGTCACAGAATAAGTTCATAGATTTTTACTTTATTATACTAGCATTGAATTTTGGGATGTCCTTACTCCTTTTTTTTTTTTTTTTTTTTTTTTTTATAGCTCAGAGTACCCAATGTTAATTTAAACTGATACCTATGCATGGAAATGTTTTAAATTGTGTTGAAAGGAGCATCTGTCCTGGTAGGTGACCAGGCCACTGTGCACACCTGTCACAGGATCCTCACTGAAGCAGTGCACTTTTACACTTGCTGACTGCCCCTGTGCAATAGGAGCATATGAATTCCATGTTCTAAATAAATCACCTTTGCCTCCTGTCACCTCTTATCATCAGGGTAATCATAAAGGCAGAGACACTATATATCACAATCATGTATCACATGCTTCCAGTTACTAGTCAGTGTACATGTACACACACGCATTCCTATTCCTTACTTTCAGATCTCTGGTACATGTTGTAACTTGTGAGGGCTTGCATTGGTGTTAAAGAATACAGACCCAGCTCCATTTGTTAGTTTGGTTTGTCTAAAGCACAGCGGCATGGCAGAAATGCCAAGATACCCTCATTGTATATACATATATAAAGAAAAATTATGTACATTTTGAAATGGCTTCATAATGCTGAGCAGCATGTAACTGGATGGGTCTTACTAGCTTACATTATCCAAAAGAACAGATAGTATTTTTAAAAGACTTATGACTGTCTGTGAACAGTGGTAAGCTGAGGTGACTAAAGAGGACAATGAGCAGGTCACCTTGTCCTTGGGAACTGGCTCCTCACCTCCTGTCTACAAAGAGTTTGTTAAGCCTGAGTGTCAGCCTTTGTCAAGTTGTTGCAGATACTCTTTACAGTAGGCAGAGTCCACACCATGCTCTTAACGCTTCCTACCACTGTGTCTATTTCTTATTCTACCTCCCAAAACTTCCCATAGGGCCTGGATTCCTTCTGAAAACATTCAGGATATCACGGTCAATGTTCACCGACTGCACGTGAAGCGCAGTATGGGCTGGAAAAAGGCCTGTGATGAGTTGGAACTGCACCAGCGCTTCCTCCGTGAAGGCCGGTTCTGGAAGTCTAAGAATGAGGACCGAGGTGAGGAAGAGGCAGAATCCAGTATCTCCTCCACCAGTAATGAACAGGTGAGTGGTATCTCGGTAAGAAGGTCCAGCTGGTTGTGATTTTTCAATGCGAAACCTCTGTGTACACCCCTCACTGTCATAAACAGGTTTTGACATCTTCTTTCCCTTTCATACAAACATCTGTAAAGTGCTCTGCACAAGTAAGCAAACCAGTGCAAAGATGTGAGTGGGTAGAAGCGACTTGGAGCCTGACCAAGCCGGTGGGAGGAGAGTAAGTGTGCTGCTCGGCTCTGCAGGCCCACTGGCTCCTTCATCACCAACCCACAGCAATAAGGAAGCAAGTGGCTGCTGAGTGGATGGAAGGACTCCCTTCTCTCCTGCGGGTTCACCACAAGTATTCTCAGCACAGAGGTATTTCCTAGTGTGCCGAATAATAAGATATTACTTTTATAATGCCCACAGCTGAAGGTCACTCAAGAGCCAAGAGCAAAGAAAGGACGACGTAATCAGAGTGTGGAGCCCAAAAAGGAAGTAAGTTGCCCACCTCACAGTGTCCAGGTGGCAATGGAAAGAGGAAAGAGTCTCAAAGTACGGTCAAGACAGTCAAGTAATGTCCGTCAAGTTAAGGCCCAATCTCCCGACTCGTGTCGTTGTGGACTGCTGCTCGACCAGCACACGAGTGCACAGTCTCCGTCCCCAGTAAGCAGCCGTGGAGCAGAGTCCGGGGAGTGAGCAGGGTGCTGCTGCGTTTCCCGAGAACCTGGTGTTTTACATGGCATTAAATAAAACAGAGCAGTGATCTGATGAGCCAGTTGTGCCAGCACTTGAAACAAGGAGACTATGGTCAAGCTTTTTTTTTGTATGAACTGAGAATGTTTTAAAATTGTAAATCTAAGTACATGCCAGACACATTCAGTGAGGTGTGATTTAGGGCTGTAGGAAATCTGCTGATTAGTTGTTAATGATCTTATTTCTTATAATCCAAAACCTTTATTTTACAAGTAAGATCCATTGTGTTAACATATACTGAAATTATAAATGGGATACTTAATGTATAACTTTTCATTCACTGGTTGTGTTTAGGGAAGATTTATTTAATTGTGACAACTATAACAAGATACCAACATTACTTGCTTGTTAACAGTTGTGTGTGTGTGTGTGTGTGTGTGTGTGTGTGTACATGTGCACACTCACATACACTGAGTTTGTCTCTTAACTGAGCTGGGGTGAGTTACATTGCCCTGTTTTTCTTCTAAACATTTTAGGAACCAGAGCCAGAAACGGAAGCAGTAAGTTCCAGCCAGGAAATCCCCACAATGCCTCAGCCAATTGAGAAGGTGTCAGTGTCAACCCAGACCAAGAAGTTAAGTGCCTCTTCCCCAAGAATGCTGCATCGAAGTACCCAGACGACTACTGATGGCGTCTGTCAGAGCATGTGCCACGACAAATACACCAAAATTTTTAATGACTTTAAAGACAGAATGAAGTCGGACCACAAGCGTGAAACAGAAAGAGTAGTCCGGGAGGCGCTGGAAAAGGTGGGGCTGCACATTGCTGGGGCGGTGGAGCGTGGACCAGCTTCTCACAGGAGCAGCTGAGCCAGCGTCCCTTACACGAGTAGCGTGTTCTCTTAGTAATGCGTTCCTGCTAACACCTTGTGTGTACTCAGAGAGTGGGAACGGACCTAAGCTCAGCAGTGAGGCTTTACTTACGTGTACCCTGTCTGTTGCTGTCTTCATTTCAGCTGCGTTCTGAAATGGAAGAAGAAAAAAGACAAGCTGTAAATAAAGCTGTAGCCAACGTGCAGGGTGAGATGGACAGAAAGTGTAAGCAGGTGAAGGAAAAGTGTAAGGAAGAGTTTGTAGAGGAGATCAAGAAGCTAGCAACGCAGCACAAGCAGCTCATTTCTCAGACCAAGAAGAAGCAGTGGGTGAGTAGTCCGCTGCCCCGGGGAGTGTGACAGACGGGCCCCTGGAAGAGTTATAGACTCCACAGCATTCAGGGGGTCCTGGAAGCCCTCCTGGGCATAGCACTGCTGTTGTGTACAGTTGTTTGCAGCTTTTCCAGTGGTGTAGATACAAGTGGCAAGTGTCTGGTCTCAACTTCAATGCTGAGACGTCTATGGTGTCAAGCTGAAAAGCTGCACATATACCCCACAAGCTTCCCTGTCTCAGATGTTTCATGTTAGTTTATAGAAATTGCTTCCTTTTGCTTGTAGTAAGAGCATGTCATTACCCAGCAAGTGCCCTTCCTTCGCCCTGACTGGAAGTGTCACTGAGTCCTGATTCTAAGTCTTTCCCTCCTCCTGAGATAGAGGATCCTGCACGTAGCCAGCCCTGAGGGAACTACCCGGTGGGAACAATTCTCCCTTCTGCTCCTAACTTGGTTTTAATGTAAATCAAATTCTGTATAGCATTTCATGATAATCCTTCCTTTTACCCAGCTTCTATTATGAAGATTCTGTAAATATAAGGTTTTCATGAAGCATGTGGTAAGAAAAATTGTTATAAAGACTTAGCACAAACGACAAGGTTATCTCAGCACATAGGCAGAAGCCTGTATAGACAGCTTGGTGGGAAGAAGCGCTGGCTAAGGAGATAGGTAGACAGGGCTAAGGTGTATTCCAGCAAGCTCCAGAAGACCCAGACACCACAATGGTAAGGTAATTCTGTCTTCTATATGAAGACATGGCTCGCTCACTTTCCCAGCAGCAATGTGGTAGGAGTTGCCGTTGTTGATGTAGCAAAATCATAAAACTCAAAATATTAATTTTGACAGAAAATAAAACAAATATACAGCCAAGAAGAAAACTAGAAGTTTTGAATTTTTACCAACCCAGTGTAGGCTAATGTACTGGGTCCTCACCATGTCTGTCAGCCTGTGTGCAGAGTATGCTCTATACAGCCCTGTGGGCATTAAGGTCAGCCTGGTCTCTTGCTCATCCTCTTCGCAGGAGTCTACAGCGGTGAAGCTGCTAGCTCACCAGCTCTGCTTAAAACTTGAACATGGACTTTCCCTCATTTCTTCTCCCATGTCTAAAGGTGTACCTTCAACACTAGGCACTTTTTGACCCACCTAGTCATTGTGAGAACTTTTAGTAGCAAGAGTGACTTCTCCCTGAAAGCTAGGGCTTCAGTCATTTGCAGTGGAGGGATGTGATGGGTGGGGGAATAGAGCTGCAAATGGCCCTCTATGGAGTCAGAGCAGATAAAGGACACGAGGGCAGAGCAGCATTCGGGAAGGAAACAGTTGATGTGGAGCTGGTAGAATGAGCAAGCCTATAGAGACAGAGGCGGATGTAGTGTTGTGAAGATGCCTGAGCCCTCACCCTGGGCTCCTGCCCTGTCCTTGCACGTAAGATACTCCAGTGCACATGCATGTACCTGTGGGCTAGCCTCAGCCAGAGAGAGCTTTGCAAGCACAGCCTTAGAAACTTAGCTGGCCCTGCGCGTTGGCTCTTGGTCTCATATGTGCCTCCTGCCCTGCAGTGCTACAACTGTGAGGAGGAGGCCATGTACCACTGCTGCTGGAACACATCCTACTGCTCCATCAAGTGCCAGCAAGAGCACTGGCATGCAGAGCACAAGCGCACCTGCCGCCGGAAGAGATGAGCCTGCCCGCCACCCTCACACGCAGCGGTTTTTGTTTCCAAGAAGCCAAAATTGTTTAGAATTTGCTTCCCATTTTGCACCAGCCTTTAAACACTTTTCGTGGTGAAATTTTGCACAGTAGTTTAAATCTTTTGTTAATGCTCCTCCGGCATTTTTCGGGGGCTGAAGTAACATCAATGGAGGGTATTACTTAAATAAATTCTAATTGAGAATTTGTTGCATTTTCAGCAAATTTTAAAACATTTTTAGGTTTTACAGAGATTTTAACCTTTAAACAACAGATCTTAAAACAACAACAACAACAGGTGAATACGAGTGAGTCTAACAAAGACGGAACAGAGCTGAATGTAAGAGCGGCGGACGCTTCAGAAGAAAACAGACTACCTGGCCGTGACCCGGCCGCGACCTGGCTGAGCTGGTTTTGTGCAGCTTGCTCACTGTTCACAGGTGTTGCCTGTGGCCGTGCTGGCGGCATGTGATTGAATATAGGGAACAGGGTTGACACAGCAGGGCTAGCCCTGCATATTTTTTCTTAAATATTTCCCAATTGTGTTTTCATTTTTTCTTTTCAATATATAACTTTTATAACAAATTATTAGCTTTGATCTTGTAGTTTAAAATTGCAGGGAAACTGGGGTAATCTTTTACTGAGCTGGATCTTAGAGAAAAATGAATATTTAAATTTTAAAGTTTGCACATTTCATCTTTGTCCTGACATGAGTGCTTGTAACAAAATCAGCAGCAAAAACAAAAATCAAAAGCCAAAAACTACCTGTACTCAGAACGTGGAATACAGCTGAGGCATGGAGTTTCTTCACTGAGTCCCCTCCCTCCCCAGGGCCACCCCAACCTTACACCCTGTGTCTCCTTGAGTGTAAAGCTACTACTTTGCTTGTAACAAAATCAGCAGCAAAAACAAAAATCAAAAGCCAAAAACTACCTGTACTCAGAACGTGGAATACAGCTGAGGCATGGAGTTTCTTCACTGAGTCCCCTCCCTCCCCAGGGCCACCCCAACCTTACACCCTGTGTCTCCTTGAGTGTAAAGCTACTACTTGGAGAGAGAAAGCACTTACATGTCACAGAAGCCGTTGTGTTGTAGGGAAGGGTCATTGCTACTAACGAACTCCGTCACTGTACACAGTGAATAATGCATGTTACTTTTCTTGTATTAAAGATGCCGTGATTTGTACAAAGTCTGTATTTTGCAGGATGTCTGGTTAAGAAGCATTACCGGTAGGAATGGATCGATAGTTGAATAACATTTTTTATATATACATAGATATATAAAAGGCAACCAGGAAAATTAAATTTCTTTAAAACTATCTCACAATTTGTTTCTTTTTCTCCAAGACTGATCATAGACCAAGCCAAATTCCTACTTTATCCTTTAGTTATTTTTTGAGGTTAGAGAAATAATTTGTAAATATTTATTTAGACCTTTGATATTTATTAAAGCAATTACTCACAACAGAAGTGAAAGAGTCGGGAGAAAAGCCTTTAAAAAAGTTTTCTCCGGTCCATCAGGGTCACTCTAAAGATGAAAGCTAGGAGTTCTGTGAAACCTCCTTCATCCGGCGCTGATGCTATTGCAGATGGTGGTAACACAAGTTAATTTACAAACTACTGCCAAACGGAGCACACTCTTTTGTATAAAACCACCAGTAACCCACCACCTCCTCCAGGTTACACAGTAACTTGGCACCACAGCTTCCTCCTCTGCCGCATAACCATCATTGCTGCTGCGCTGCCCTAACCAAGGACACTTGACAGTCTTTGTTTTCAGGTTTTAAAACTTCGATCCACCCCTGTGAGAGCAAGTTATTGTGGGAATATTTTTGGTGTAAAATCATTCCAGAGTATGTACTATTTACCTGATAGCTGCATGAAAGTGAGGTTCCTGTTACTTTGGCTTCTTGTCTCTGTCGACACGGCTGCACATTTCCAAGTTACTACAGTGTGAAAACTGTGTGTTTAAAAACAAAAAAAAAAAAAACAAAAAAAAAAAACAAAATTAAAAAAAGATTGTGGCCTGGTTTTGTAAAAGTTTTAGGTAAAATTACAATTGATTGTTTTAGGAATCATTAAAATTTTCTGCAATCATAAAGCTCTATCAAGGTGTTGAGTTAAGCCACTCTGCACATTGTAAGTACCCATCGTGGCTGTCCAGTTCTATGATGCATTCTGGCATTTTGTAAGCTGCTCTGACTAGCAATATATAGATTTCATTTACTGTGTTAACATTGGTTAATAAATGTATTTAAAAAAAAAAACAACAACACAACTCTTGTCAAGAAGCTGCTTTAGTCCAGTGTCCTGTGCCAGACAAAACCCAGCTACATCTAAAGGTTGGTCAAGAGCGGTGGGTTGCTTGTGGGGACTGGAAAAGCAGTGTGGGGAGTTGGAGAGATGACTCAGCACCTAGGAGCACTGGCTGCTCTAGCAGGGTTTGATTCCCACAAACATCTGTAGTTCTAGGGAACCCAATGCTCTCTTCAGACCCTGTGGGCACCAGGCACACAAATGATGTACATACTGTGAAGGCAACACATTGATACACATAAATGTAAAAAAAAAAAAAAAAAAAAAAAAAAAAAAAAAAAAAAAGTACATGTATTCTGTTCAGTTCTACACCTCAACATTTACCTTGGATGATGTGGGTCATTTCTCAAAGGTGAGAATGAGAACATGTGCTCATGCTTGCTCTTGACTGGAATGCTGAGTAGTCAGGGCCACCCTGCTCTCACCTGGGGATGGCAGGTGGGTGCCATTTTACCAGCCTAGTTTACCAGACTCTAGTTTTCTGTGTGGTTTTTGTTGTAATTTTAAAAAGCGGTGCGAGAAAGATGCCAGCCATGCCACAGAGTTCAAGTGGAGGGTTTTTGTTTTAATTAGGAAAAGGGATTATAAAGGGAGCGGGGAGACCAGCCTCTGGGGACAGGAGCAGTGGGAGAGAGGGATGAGAGGCAGAGACAGAAAGAGGGAGAGAAAGAGGAGGATGGGAAGTGGGCAGGGCCATTTTAAAAGGGAACATAGTGAATGCAGCTGAGGGCATAACTTGTCAGATCCCCAAGGACAGGTCAGTACAGATGCCTGAATACTAACAGTTTTGTCATTGACCTCAATAGTAGTATCATAGTTGGAATGATGTGATTAAGGTTTGAACTTACTGTAGGATTCTGAAGCTCACAACAATCATAGAACACTCTATTCACTTCATTTTTGTCTTTGTCTCTAAGCAACAAGGTTACCTTCCCCCGCCCCCCCCAAAAAAACAAAAAACAAAAAACAAAACCCAGCAACAACAAACCTCAAACTTCAGACACCTAATACAGTGTTCTGCCTGTACTCAGGAAGAAAGCACCAGATCTCATTACTGATGGATGTGAGCCACCATGTGGTTGTTGGGAATTGAACTGAGTACCCCTGGAAGAGCAGCCAGTACCCTTAACCTCTCAGCCATCTCTCCAGCCCCTAATTCTAGACCTTAAGTATAACAGTTGTGTTCAGAAAGGTTTTCAACTAAGAAATACTTAAGAGATATGAGCCCATTACAGTGCAGACTAAGACAGTCTCACTGAAACTAGTGCAGGCCAGAGATGATACAGTGATGGTCTCACTGCATTGGTGCCTGTCAGGAGACAGATAAGCAGCTTGCACCTTCCTAGTGCTTAAACAAAAACCTGCAACAGGAGACTGCATGGAAGTGGCTGTGTTCTAACACATTAGAAGGAAGCTTTTCAGTTAGTCTCAACAGGTCAATTCAAAGTGATTTACTAATGTTTCTAGACATGCTTAATTGGTGAGTCACAGAGCTCTGCCTCAAACTCATGTTGGTTTGATTGCAAAAGGCCATTTCATTTTTTAAGGCATCTGCTGTGCCAGACTTAGAAAAACTTAATGACATCTGACAGTTGTCAGTGTCAGCAAGTTCAAAGTCCCCTGAGTCATACCTGTCATCTGCCCCACCTCAGCTGGTATCTCCCCTCCACCCCACATATTGTTCTCTCAATCCAGGACAGCCGTACCCCTCACTGACTAAGACTGCACAGCAAGCAGTGGACCTGTGTCTTCCTTTGTAGTCTCTGGTTTAGAGGTGCACCAACTTGACGTCAGGATGCCTTGGATTCATGCACTGTCAGGCCCCACTTCTGCACAGGCATCATTAACAAGTTCCCAAGTGGTGCCACTCTGTATTACCAGGAAAATAAAAATGATGGGTCTATATACCAGTGTGCAAGACAAACTGCGTGAAATTCTAAAGGTACCTCATGTCCAGAATTATCTTGACCTTCAGTTTAAGAATTCTTGACCCAATCAAATTAATGAAACATCAGTAGGTAGAGAGAAACATGGAGTTATTGTAATCTAGTTCAAACTGCTCAAAGCCACATAGATCGATGCTCACCCAGCAGATGTCAGGGTCCATGGGGTGGGTCTGCCACTTCCTGGCAGTATGGGAGTCCACTGACCAGGTGTGGAAATTCACAGAGGGTGGGTGTTACTACATTAAACCACAAACTCCATAAAAGCAAAAATGCTGAAAGGGAAATAAAATGTTACCAGAACTATACATTTTATAGTAGCCACATTGTTAAAAAAAAAAAAATCACAACCAGATAAAGTTAATGTATCTCCTCAAGCACTGTCTAATTTGTAAGTAACAAAAACCTACTTATGGTTATTACTTTTGAGAAAGGGTCTCACATATTTCTGACAGCCACAAACTATGTAGCCAAGGTTGATCTTCCAGGCTGTACCACCAGAATGCTGAGATCACAGGCATGGACCACCACATCTGCTGCACATGCTTCTGAGCATGGAGCTACCACAGCGCTACACCTCAGTTCTGATAGGCCTCACCCTCCCTGGGGAGCAGAAAGGGTATGGGATAGGTAGGGTGTTAGTTGGGGGGTGGGCACAGGGGCAGAGGGGAGGCAGAGGGAACTAGGATTGACATGTAAAATAATTTAAATAAAAAATGGAGAGAAAGAAAAAAGAATTATAAAAAAAAAGATTGTGACTGGTGTGAGTTGCATTTTTAGTTTGTATCAAGCTTTCAAAATCTAGTATTTTATTACTTTCCCCTTGTCTCCATTGAGACTAGCCACACTGTCCACGTGACCAGTGGCTTCCTTTGTCATAGACAAGTACCTGTCCTGTCAGTGACTCACTCTACATTCACCAGCATATATGTGTTAGAGTGCCTAGG